GAGGAGGGGGAAAGGGGAGGAATCATTTATTGAGGAGGGGGAAGAAGAGGGAAGGTGGAAGCAGGACTTCGACCAAAGACGTGACATTTCGATGCAGACGTGTGTGTGTGTGTGTGTGTGTGTGTGCGTGCGTGCGATGGATCGCGCGTCGGGGCAATACGCGCGGGAGAGGAGCGGACCAGAGCCCGTTGTTCCGCACTGGGAGTAGCCAGGGATAGTGTCTGGGAGCCTCCCCCCGTCTCGGCTTCGTCTCCTCTCCGCCTCTCCCCTCCTTCTCCCCCCCTTGGTCAACTTCTATCCCTTTTCCTTGGCAGATGCCTTTTTCCTCTCGCAACCCCATGCGTGCCGGCAGTGCGGGCAAAGCTTTTCGCATGGTGCTCTCCACCACTCATGATCCTGAAGCTTGACATTGCAACGGCTTCCAGGATGGGGCGCATGTCGTTTTCGGAATGTAGCTCCGTAGCGCAGCGCACATTTGCCTTAACATGTTGCATCAGCTTCAAGCAGGGATGGAGGGGATGATTCCAATATGCTGTTCTCGCCCTAACACAGAGCACATGTGTCTCAACGTCCAGCAGCAGCTTCAAGGATCGAGGGATTGTTTTTTAGACTGTAGCTCTTGCCCTGGCGCCGCGCAAATTCGTCTCAAACGTATTCGACGACTTGAACGATAATGGGAGGCCATCTTTCACACTGGGGCTCTTGCCTCAGCGCCTCATGCACTTCACAGGGCACAAACAACAGTCGGGGGGACGAGGAGTTCAAGCGCGCTCCGCGCAGCCCCCCCTCCGCGAGGTCGGCGCGGCGGCGGTGGTGTCCGCAGCCCAGCGGAACCAGGAGCCGCTTGCCTGCGTCCTCTGCAGGGTGAGTGAAGATACCGCGGCCGACCTGCGTGCACAGTTCCGCGCTGGTGTCTCCCAAGACCCCCTCTGCCTCTTTTCCCTCCTCTTCCACTCCTCTTCTTCCTCCTTCTTTTTTCGGCAGGGGTGGGCTGGGCCCCTGATGCCCGATCGCTTTTTGCCCGAATGGGGTACGGTGGGGGCATTCGTTCAGGAATGCGCCCAGGAGGCTTCAGACCCTGAAGGACTCCTCATCCAATCAGTGCGGCACTGATCTCCATGGCCACTCCACGGTTGGAGTTCCGCCTGCTTCTAGACCCTGGATTCCTTATCCAATGGTTCCTTGTCCAATGCCCTCACCTTTCCGCAGCCATTTTGGGTCAAGGTACGATGCTTGGGGATTGCACGCCTCCAGGCAAGCACGGGATAGCTCTGTTTCCCGAGCTCGTTTCCATCCCTCTTGCGAGTGCTGGTCCGCCCCAGCGTCTCGCGTGCCCGACATCCAGGTCGGCACAGTTTTGAGCACGGCTAAGCCGAGCGCTGGCGGTGCACAGCAGCCATGGGCAAGCAGGCAGCTCCTGGCTTCATCAAGTGCGCGTGTTGCTCGTACAAGTGGACATGGCGTGGCCGTTCGACGTGCTTCCAGTGCGGGAAGGAGTTCGAGCTCGAGGCCCCCCGTTCGTGGCGCACGGAAACCCAGGGTGTGGCAGCAAAACCCTCGACCCTCACCAACAAGGAGAAGGACGGCGACTGGCACGACTGGGAGTCCTGGCTGAGGAGTCGAAGCTCCCGGAAGAAGGCTGGTGCGAAGGCCGAGGCCCTCGCTGTGCTGCTGGCTGCGGCTCCGCACCTCGTGGGGGATTCCGCGATCGCCAAGATCAAGGGTCAGCTCCCTCCGCCGCCTCCGCCTGTGCAGCCGCGCGATCCGAACCACGAGTGCCAGCACCAGTGCGCGCTCGAGCGGAAGGCCAAGCTCCGCCTCCAGAAGTGCGTGGAGTCGGAAAAAAAGTGCCATGACTGGTAGGTGGAGGCCCAGCCAGCGAGCCAGGAGGCTGCACGCGAGGTGGCGCTGGCCAAGAGCGGCGCCGAGGATGCGCTGCTGGCACTCCAGCGCGAGCGCGGCCACCTGCAGGCAGGTTCGGCCCAGCCTGAGGGTGCGCCCGTGCCGAAGCCTGCGGCGGCCTTCAACCTCAGCGCTCTCCTGGAGTCCGACGACTTCCACTTCGAGGCTGCGCCCGCCTTCGACGCGGAGGGGCTGGACTTCCGCAGCTCGGAGGTGGAGGCGCTGCAGGCGCTCCAGGCCAGGTTCGCGAAGAAGCTCAAGGCGAAGGTCGCGGAGCTCTTCGGCGAGACGGCCAGCAACCTCGGCCAGTGCCGCGTCGAGGCAGCCGCGTTGTGCGAGCGCCTCAAGGGGAAGCGACAGCGGCGTTCCGAGGCCAGCGGCGAAGCTGCGGCTGCAGAGGCAGAAAGGCGGGGGGGAGGGGGGGCGCGGCGCGCGCACCTGGCCCAACGCCTGCAGCACCCGCTGCAGAGGCGACCCCCCGCCGCAGCGGCCAGCGCCGCAACGCCAGCTTCCCCAGGAGCTGCGGCTGCGATTGATCGAGGAGCAAGCACTACGGGAGCTTCAGCAGGCACGCGAAGCTCGAGACAGGCAGGGTCTTTGACATAGCTGAATGCCAGGCTAAGGTGGTCATCGGCCAGCGCGCAGGCCCTCCAGCTTGGGGATCGGCTTCCGCGGCCAATCAGAAGTTCTGGGACTACAACGTGACGGACCTCGACTGGGACCTGCCCTTCGCCGTGCCGTCGCTTTTGGAGGCACTCGCTCGCTCCTTGTCAGGTTCGCTGGCCCCGCTGGCCCTGCGGCGGCTACCAGGTCGAGGCCAGGCAGGTGCGGAAGACGGGGCGCAGGCACATGGGCTTCGGGAGTGTGGCTTTGCCACCCCAAGCGGCCTCGGCCCCCGGCGCGAGGGGCAGATCTGGGGGGGCAGGCTCACGGACATGGCCGCGACCTGGACCAGTCACCTCGCAGATCCTGAGGCGTCGGCAGCGACATGGTGGACCAACTACATTGAGTGCGTCATGCTGAACAGGCGCTGCAGCCTGGAGGAGGCCGAAGGTTTCTGCGAGAGGGCCTGGCGCCGAGCGGGGCCTCGCAGGGCGCGGCGACGCTGCTCCACCTGGACAGGCTCGGAGCGATTCCCGTCCCAGAGCTCGCTGCCTGGAGGCGCGAGGTCAACGGGATCTGGGGTGCCGAGGGCAAGGCCGAGCAGGAGTTTCGACGGCTCGTGCCCCCTCACGAGGTTCAACGAGAGGAACGCTACTACCACGAGGTCGGCTGCGCACAGCTCTCCCTGGGCGGTGTCCCAGTGGGCAGGGGGGGGGGGGGCAGGGATTCAGCCCCTTGTCCGCGCGCCCTCCTGCCCTCATGCTCCACATCTTCACGCTCGGGCCCGTCTTCGTTGGCTCGAGATGTTCAGGGCGGACCTCGGCGTGCTCCTCGAGCGCCGAGGCTCCTCGCGTCGCCGCTGCTGGACGCGGCGCCAGAGAAAGGTCAGAACGATAATCGGCAGGTTCGACGTGGCCAGGGCGGACCTTGGCGTGCCCCTCGAGCGCCGAGGCCCCTCGCGCCGCCACCGCTGGACGCGCCGCCAGAGAAAGGTCAGAAAACACGTCAGCAAGCTCGAAATTGTCAGGGCGGACCTCGGCGTGCCCCTCGAGCGCCGAAGCCCCCGGCGTCGCCGCGGCAGCCAGGCGACAAAGTGACGGCACCAGGGGCGACAACCCGCATCGTCAGCTTGTCAGAGATGGTGAGTGCTCCCGCAGCAAGCCCGCCAGCATCGCGACGACCAGCGGATCCACTCGGGCAGCAGCGCAGACAGCGGTTGAGCACCTCCTCCACGACAGCTGCCGACATCTACCTCATCCAGGGGGCCCGCTTCATTTCGGGTTGCGATATGGGGGCTGCCAGAGAATGATGCTCTCGCAACGGCCTCAGCGCCGCCTTCAGCCCCTGCAAGAGACAGGCGATGCGTCGCAGGCGGCGTCTTCTGGGGTCGGCATCCTCACGGCGGCGCGCCGTGGTATGTGCGCCGTCGACCAGGCCTGGGGCGAGTTCAATGCGCGCACCCTGGGATTGCCCTTGGATGCTTGGTCGCGGTGGTGGCGAGTGCCTACCTGGAGCGCGCGACCAAGCTCCGGGGCATCAACGTGAGCCTGCTGGCGGAGTTGCAGGAGTTTTTCAACAGCCTGAACGAGCCGTTCGTTGTCGGCGCCGACTGGAACATGGAGCCCCAGATCCTCGAGAGTTCCTTGTGGCCGAGGGCGGTGCGCGGCGCTGCGGTGGCGCCGCGACGCCCGACCTGCGCGGAAGTGGTCTACGACTACTTCGTCATCTCGACCTCCCTGGCAGCGCTGGGCCCTGAGGCCGCCGCAGTCCGACCGGCCACCGCGGGCCCCCGCGCGCCCGTCAGGCTCTCCATCAGCAAACTGGGCTCGTTGGCCAAGGTCTGGGTGCTTCAAGGGCTTCGTCACTTCGACGCTGCAGCCGAGCTCTCGCCTGACGAGCTGAGCCGTGCTGAGGAGGCGGCGCTCGAGGTGAACTGGGGGGCTCCGCTGCCAGATGAGGCCAGCTCTCCTGACGAGGCGGTCAAGGAGTTCTTCCAGGCGGCAGAGGAGCACCCAATCGACGTCCTCGTCGTCAGCGGCGGCGCCAAGTACCGCGGGCGCGCCCAGGGGCCGCAGCGGGTGCAGAGGGCCCTGAAGGACCTCCGGCGCTCCGAGATCGCAAGGAGAGTCAGACCGCTCACTCGGCTGTGGATCTCCCGGGGCAGGCTCCCTCGGCAGCTTCGCGCTGCGGCAGCCGCCGCGCAGCGCTGCGAGAAGCATGCTTCGTGCGTGTTGTACCTGGAGCAGGCGGCGCTGGCCCTTGCGCCTCAGTTTGACAAGCTCGGGTGCTCCATGTGTAACTTCAGCCGCATGAGCACCCTGCCGGGCGAGATCAACCTCGGCGCGCAGAACGGCATCCACTTCGAGCACCAGATCGAGCGGGTCGCGGCGCGGCGCGTCAAGGCTGGCGCCTCGCTGGCGCGTGCCCGCAGGGGGAAGTTGGTGGGCGGCGCCTTGGCAGGCAGCGGTAAAGGAGCCCGCGCGGTCAGCAAGACTGCGCACCAGGAGGCCAAGGCGATTCTGGCCCCCGGCGATGGCGATGCACCCCCAGTGCCGCTCGTCGGACAGTCAGCCCTGGACCAGCTCCTAATGGAGTGGGAAGCGCTGTGGTCTGGACTTCGCGCGGAGACGGTTCGAGCGGAACGAGACCCCGATCCAGGCCGGCTTGCTGATTGGTGCGTGGTGTTCGATCAACCCCCGATCGCCGCCGTGGAAGCGCTAGCAGCGGCCAAATCGCTCGCCAGCCGCACCGCCTTAGGCTGGGGCGGCCTTCGTCCTCGGCCTCTTCTGCTGCTCGGGATGCCCTTCGCGCAGCGCATGGCCCAGGTGCTCGCCGCGTGGGAGAGGGGCCCGAGGCCAGCGGCCCTCCTCACCACTATTATTGTCTTCCTGGGTATACCAGATGGAGGACGCCAGTTAATCGGCCTCATGTGCTTCTGGCTGCGCGTATGGTGGCGCATCAGAAGTTCGTGCTGTGCGAGCTGGGGGGCCGACAACCATTGTGAGGGGCTGCAGCTCTGATGCCAGCTGCGATCGAGCAGCATACCTTGACAACCTCAACCTCGGCCTAGCGCGCAAACTGGGCTTTGACGGGGCCTCGGTGCACTTCGGCATCAGAAAATTCTACGAGAGGATCGCCCACGGCCTGCCCCTGGAAGCCGCGAAGGTCAATGGCTTCAGCCCAGGCCTCGTGCGTGCACTGTGCGTTGCCTACGCTGGGCCTCGAAGAGCCACGGTGGACTGCGCGGCCAGCGAGGAGATCGTGGCCAACGGCGCGGTGATCGCTGGCTGCGCCGGCGCCACCACCACGGCGCGCCTGATGACCTCCGACTTGCTGCTCAAAGGGCGGTCGCTCTTCCCATGATATTTCAGGCAATGGAATCGGCTCGCGAGGCGTGCTGATCAGGCAGCCCAACGCATTCGCGCAGGGCGTCGTCTCCGTGCTGAGCGACAAGAGGCTCCCCATCAATTGGGGCAAGACCAAGGTGCTGGCCGCCTCTGTGGGCCTCCAGAGAGACCTGCCGAAGTTGCCTGGCTGGCCGCTGGGCCTGGCTTCCTTCGTGGCGGCCCATCGCGACCTCGGCGGCGATGCTACGGATGGAGGCCACAGGGCGGTCACCACCCAAGTGGCGAGGGAGCTCGCGGCCAAGAGGCAAGCCGCCAAGCTGACGCGGATCTTCGGACCAAGGCTCCGTCAAGCTCGGGTCATTCGAGCGGGGCCCACAGGCTCTGTGGGGCTCGGCCATTGCTGGCAACCCTCCAGGGCGAATGCGAGCTCTGCGAGTCGCCGCTGCGAAGAGCGCTGGTCGGCCCCCGCCTGGAGCGGTCCTCAGCTTCGCGTTCCAGCGTGCGCCCAGGGGCTGGCGGCAGGACCCTCTCGTGGTGGCGACGGGCATGGCGGTGCAGGCCTTCGCCAGCGTGGTCTTGTCAGGGCAAGCCACGCCAAGGGCAGTTGAAGCGTGCCTCCTGAAGTGCCAGCATGTCATGCGGTGCCAGTGGCCCTGGGCAGCGGTGAGACAGCCGATCGCGGCGCTGGCCCTCATGCTGCAGCGCGCGGGTTGGGCCATCACGGACAACGGCGCGTGCGTCAAGGACGAGTTCGGCTTCGAGTTCCCCGCCCTGCACGACTCCCCCGTGTTCTTGGCAGCATGT